TCCGATCTCTATAGAACACGCGCAATGACGTGAGATGTCGCGAGCAACTGCTCACGTCAGGTCATTTTGGAAGTTCTTTCATTTTGTTAATCAGTTTCTGCGACTTGCGCGTAAAAATGGTCACCCGTTTTGTTCGCAATTCTTAAGCAGGATTTTTGTGATAACTTTATCGAGCCACCTTAAAGTAAATATATATGTATTTTCACGTTTATTACTATAGATGCATTTGTACAGTAGTAAAATCAGATTAAAAATAAGATTAAAAATGTGAAAAAGAAAAAGGAACTACTATATCTTCTAGTTGAAGAGGACATGCAAAAATCTATTAACACCATGAAACAAGACTTAAGTTGAATAAAGGTACGTGTACACTCTGCGATTTGTGTGTATGATTCTTAGTTCTGGCTGCATTTTCAATTTCGCAATAAACTAAATGCAGCCGAATTGTGGGGTCAACAGTAATATAAAGGTTCAGATTTGACTTCCACTCCCGCTACCACTACCTCTAACTGGCTTAGTACGCATCTGATTGGTTAATCGAATATATCAAACGCATCTGATTGGTTGATGGTCTCTTAATGGTAGCGGTAGCGGTAGTGGAAGTCAAATCTGAACCTCACTTCATTTCACTGTACGATTCCATGTACAGACTGAAGTTAGGCCAAACTGTCATGGTGAAATAGTAATCTATTAATAACTATTCATTGACAATATATAACCTTTTCAAATCATTGGTCGTTTTTTCACTAAGTTTGTCATATCTAAATTATATATATGTAACATACAAATAAACACAGTTGTACTTGGTTGAGTTTAAATAAACTTCAGGCAAAGCTACGACGCATCGTTTGATTGAGTGTTCGCAGCTAAAAATATTCAGGAAGATTGCATTTTGCCCTTTTCCGGCTCGAGGTCATACAGTATTTCTGCTATTGCGAGTCAGTGATTTACTAAGTTTGTGACAGAAAATGACAGATATTTACAGACTTTAAACCTTTTACTTTGTTAAGTTATTTATTATTTACCAATTTGATTAATAAAATTTAAAAAGCTAATAAAATTTAATAAGCCCGAAACTATTATATTCTATATAGTTTCAATATGAGCAAAGGCCGTGGAAGCATCTCCAAAGCGGAGGGCGGGGG